CCAACGAGGACGGCAGAAGCGTCGAATTTCAAGGAACTTGGCAATTCTCAAGAGCATAGAGTCACAGGAAAACGTCTGGTCTGATAGTTCTCTGGCAAGCACCGCAAATTACATAGACACAAGCCTATACCGGCACAACACGAAACAGCGCCATCTCTGAGGAATCCAAGTCTGCCAAAGCGTTTCGCGTCTTTTTACTCGACTATTCAATTGAATTGTTGCAACCAACAGTCGATTCCCAGGAGAGTCTTTTTTTAACGACATCAGGAAGCACCAAACATTGATAGGGTCCCAAAGATAAGCTGAGTTCCCATACAGATCCAAAAGCAAGCCTCAGTAATTTTCTATCCAACCAAATGAAAATAAAATGTCAAAAACCCGAACCGTGAAAGTTTAAATGAAAAAGTACAAGAATGAATATTAATTCGTACGAGAATGGACATAATAAAATTCCTCAGAGTTTCTACTACTCAAAGAAATTCCTGAGGATTTTGACCCAGGTCAAAGATCCACTTGGTCTTCTCCAAAGGTTGAGCCAAAGTAACAGTACAATCCTGTGTCACAGCTCGGAAAAACATTTTCCACGGACATTAACGAATGACAGAAGCGTCGTGTTTCGAGAAAGTTCGTGTGCGGGAAAGGTTCGTCCTTATTGAGCCAGGAGGCGCGTCGGAGCACGCCCCCTTGGCACGTTCGCAAGGACTGGCAAAGCCCCTGCCTTCGGCCGAGCTTCTTTTCTCAGACTCAATGCGCTCGACTCAAGTTATTCCAGTTGGCGTAGGGACACAAGGGGCCACGAGCACAGGACGAGGCATTGTCACGATGCCAAAAGTGCCCGATGGCGACGTTTGATTCATTCGTGAGAGCGCACCTCGTGACCGGGCCGGCAATCGGGCTCCTGCTATCAGCCAGTAGTGCCTATGCTAGCTGACTTGATAGCCAAGCTGAACTGATCGGTTGGGATAGCTGGAGTCTCGAATAAACCCCGTCGATGTCCGTGGGCTATCCCCGAGCCGACGGCAACGGAATGCTCATACTATAGGCTGTTAGCGCGCCGCTCGAAAACTAGCGCTGTCCTCATCCTCCGTGATACCTCCTGTACCTCTTTGGAGTAAGTCAGTGGTTCCCAACCTTTACCAATTAAATAGTCACTGCCTACTTGCGTATCGACCGTCTATGGGAACCTCTGGGATTTATCTCTTCGCGAGAGATTCGTGTCTTCGGATAATTCTGATTGTCAGTGATTCACGCACCAGAATAGGCAATTTCCCTTTCACTTTGCTTAATGCCGGCACTGCTACGTTGCCAAATCGTACTAGTGGTAGAGGTACACATTACTTTCATTGAAAAATTTTATTAATACCGAGCTAAGAATTAACTTATAAAATGTCCTTACAAAGTCCTATGCCGACGCATAAGCCTTCCGAGAATGGACGTATATCTATGATAGGATAAGAAGCTTTAAGTTTGCTCAGCGGATGATAGATCGTTCTGATAAACTCGTTACTTAGAACCTGACGTTAAACGGAAGCAGTACTGATGGTAAAAAGGATCTATTGAGATTTCTCTATAGAAAACGTTCTATTTATAGTATTTCAGTACTACATGTACTACGTAAGTCGTACGATTACTTTCAAGCTGCATAAGTACGTAAGGAATTGTTCTGCCGATCGGTTAACGTTACGATCGATCTTTTAATACGGCAAACGCATCAAGTCGCTAATACCTATTATCCAAATATACAGCAGCAGTCTGCTATTGATGTACTCGGGGTATATATAAATGATAAATAGTATTTTTAGTAACTCCTTGATTAGCTACCTCAAAATCTGCATTCTGCTAAGAAATCAGATCAACATACATTGAGCATATGTTACAAAGTGTCATATATATATATAAATTAACATTCCTCACTAGTTTGCTCCAATCTCTAAGAAAACATCTGTGTGACTAACGTGTCAAGTGTAAAAAAGTAAAATATTTATGTTCCCACGATCATCGTAAATTTCGAGCATCCCATAAATTGCGTCACGATTACACTGTCAATATTTGACCGTAAAGACATTATATCTGTAATACAGTTCAAGTAGCAAAAGAGTCAAGGACCCCGTAACACGTCCACGTGTTAAAAATAGATTAAATAACACGCGAATGACGATGATAAATTTTTAATGCAAACTCCAAACCATGTAAGTAACGTTAATTCAAAATTTTTGTCTCAAAAAAATATCAGGCACAAATTACAATTTTCGTATAATATCCTCAATGGGATCGAAGGAAAGGTCTAATCTTCTCTCAGGACTCATGACTAAAATGACTGTTCCTATGTACGATGAAACACGAGGATGATTCATAGAAGGCAGTAAATCGAAGAACCACCTCGAGTTTCCGGAGTCTGGATTGCCTCTGCTAAGATTACCGACGATGGAGACCCGGCATAAGAATTACTTTGGTCGTTAACTTAACACTTTTTCACCGAGCCATAATAGGAATACACATATTATTGATGGTTACGACTCTACTGATAAATGATCTCTGAATGCGGCTCATTATATTTCCGAATACCATCTAGGCATTACTACCAAAACAACTGGAGCAAAATTCAACGCAATTTATCCCGACAAGCATAAAAGTCTAATTACACTGACTGTAGAGGCTTTAGCCATTTTGGCGGGAAAGACAATAAATTTTAAATACCCTCGCTACCAGTAGCGTTAAACGTCAATGACTCGAGTAACGTGACAAGTGTTGAGACTCCTTGAACTTCGAGCTTCCTCTTGTCGGAGTATCGACGCATCCCGTTGCGTTAAAAATAGCATTCGATTCCACTAGAGCCGGTGGGCAACTGCTTTTTAACGAGCCTCCCCGAACAATGCGTACTTATCATAATTTAACATTCTTACGAGCGTCGACAGCCGCACGTTCCAGAAACCGGTCAGACATTTTCTATACTAGGTACCAGTTTTCTGTCTGGTTGGAATTATCGAATGAAACTAGGGAAAAGATTTTACAAGAATATATATACACATTGCTGGGGACAACGTATCGGCGCGTTAGAAAGCAACGTTGCCACAGGGTGTATTATCGTACGGTTATCTTGGTCTTGACCCGACTAAAATTACCATGATGCGTCCCTTTTATTGGGCTCACATTTCAAAGTGCACGCGTGCACATACGCATGTAGTACCTAACTACTTTACTCGCACGACCCTTGACTCCGTCTTTTTTAACGAGCACAATGAGCTCGGGATAGCAACGACAGACCAAAACAGAGACTACATTCATGGGTATTGAGTCCATTGAGTTATTGCTCGTTATTGATGCTGGAGGGAGGCTGGGCGAGTGTGTATGTACAGATATGCTCATGTCAAATACGCTCTTGAATATGTCTGCGTGAGACAGAGACAAGTCCAAAAAAAGAGAGAGAGAGAGAGAGAGAGAGAGAGAGAGAGAGAGAGAGAGAGAGAGAGAGAGAAGGAGAGAGAAGGAGATCGCGTAAGATGAGGGAACCATGTGAGAATCTGACGAATGAAGAGGAGTCATGGTACGGCAGAAGCAGATCTTGGACGAAGCTGATGGGTTCGGCGTAGCTGATGGTGCAGGGTGTAATGTAGAGCAGGGCAGGACAGAATGATGTACAGATGAAACTGCTAACTGAACGAGTCCATTGTTTTCATCGAATCCGTGTCTACGACGTCTCTGAGTCGTGTTTAATAAAGTACTGGTAGCAAAGTTTTTCACTGTCTTGGATGTGCATGAATATTATTATCCTACATCTCTAGAAAGTCCGATCGATCAGGTGTTGTAGGTAGGTATTCTTGACCCGTCCAGGGCTTAGCCGAGACGTTGTGTTAATTCACCAGGGACAATCGTAGAATCATTAATAATTAACGATCGGGGATCGATAAGTTGCTTGTTTATTTATTTGAGCCGGTATGTGTACCTGGAACCTGATGGTCAACCGTTATAAGAGTTATTGTAATTGTGAGCCTGTCTACAGAACTATTCAAGTATAGGTATTTGTTGTGCTATTGTTTTCTAATGTCATTTTTTTTGTTTAGATCAAATTTTAATATCCGTTACCAAAAGAGTGGTTGCTTTGGAATGTAGTGAAACTTCCCCACGCACTGTCAATCAATTCATAGAATAAGAAACGTGTGTTCCAAGCGAGTAAAGCTAAAAGGAAAAGCAAAAAAATCAGACTGATTGCCCACGCTCTCAATCACAAAGGAGTATTCTCTGCAATTGTAATAAAGCTTCTGGCGCTGATTGTTCTTTCATTCTTACTCTATATTTTGTATTGTTGCAGTACGTCCCGCGTGAAAATGATGGTAACGAAGTAAATTAGAATTTTAATTGAAGGCATTAGAAGCCTATATGGATTGCTGTTCTAAGCCAGCAAGGAAAGGTCACGAGAGTTCATCTGCAGCCTGTCGTAAGCATCGGAGCACACGTGTCGACACAGATCAACCTGCGACTAGTGTTCCCGTCAAGATAAACAGGGCAGCCTCCTTGGGAAGGCATCCCACGAGATGTTTCTCTGCTCCGTTCAATACGTCGTATATAATATTACAAGAGGCGTAATGACTATCCGCAGAACGGATATGCGGGCTTTCGAAAGTTCTCTCGCCATAACCACTATAACAATGTCATTATTTTCAATTTTATCGGAACATAAAAATAGCACATGGCGTCAACAATACAAGTACTCATGATCTTGGACATTTGTAATCTCTCAACTAATGAGATTCGTTTCTTTTTTAAGTTTTTCGTGTCAAGCAAGAATCCCATAAAGTCCACGCCCTTTCGTGCTTTTAGTCCATATCCCATATGAAAGAACATGACATTCCGTAAAAGCTCGTCCAACCAGGAATGTCAGGATACCTTGGATAAATGTAATGTCACCTAAAGATGACATCCTAAAGAGTATTCATTAACAAAACAGTAGTATTTCAACTATCTTGACAAACTGTGACTTGACGATATACTCTAAAACTCACCAAGACTTTAGTGAATCGTCTTTCCAGCTCTGTAGCGTCCGGCATCGGCTGCCGGGGTGCGCCACGGACGCTGCCGCTTCGTACATGCGGCCCGGTTAAACTGCCCATACCTAGGCTAGGTTGACAATACTGATGGCAATGGCCACCTTTGATGCCGGTAGCAACCCCTTCGCGAACTCCTGTGCCACTATCATTCTCGCTATTACCACGGCTTTGCACGATTCCCATTGTTTTCTGGTAAAGGGCTCTTGTTAACCACTGTTTTGATAATCCTCTACGTTCACTGTCACGCACTGGGAAATGTCAACGTCCCGTCATCGTCTACGAGGTTGTTGGCGGGTGCCTCGTCAACACGTGATTTTGGCATGCACGGTTATTATGTCAGTGGGAACGTGAGCGCGCCGGGCTGTGCAACAGGTATCAAGCCTTCCATCGCGAAACTGACTCGCGAACTCACGAACGTGCGCGCACCGATCACGAAGCACGCGAACTCCACTCCGAGCGTCCGTAGCAGCATCTGCCGTGTTGCTCTCGGCTTTCGACGTTCGTAGTTGGGTTGCGCATGCGTCTACGATGTCTGCGACATCTCGTGAGCATTACTGTGATCTAGGTTTAACACAAGTTTTTTCAAATATGGTACTCTTTGATTGTGGATACTGACCATCAGCAAAGGTATAGTCAGAGATGAGTAGGTTAGGTTAGTACTCATCTCTGGTATAGATAACAGTTATGACAACAATATTAAGGTCTTTAAATAGGAATAGTATGCTATGATTGAAGATATTTGTAGCTATTTAAATGAAGCAAATTATTATGAGAATGACGGGGAGGAATGCATCGAAAAATCTGTAGTTCAGCTTACAGAACTAGCTGGTGCATATCTTGATTCTTATTCTGTTTCTCTTGTATGAAATTGTTAGTGGACCGATTTTCGTGAAACCAATTTCATTTGGGCGTCGATGCGCCATCTCAGCGGAGGACCGTTGAACCATATCCAAGTTTTTAATTGGTCGAGTATTTGTATAATCGACCAATAAAAAATGTGGATGTGGCCCGACTGCCTTTCGCTCAGTTGATGAGTCGACACCCAAATAAAATTTGTTTCAAGAAAATCAGTCCACTGGCAATCTCCTTATTCATCTCTGAATGAACCTTTTATTCTTTATTATAGGAACCTTCATATCTTACTGTAGTGCTGGTTGTTATCTTTCTTATTCATTGTTATACAGTTGTTCCTGTTAGATTATATTGTTTTGTTGTACTTAGATGGTATTGAAAATGTTTTGACTTATCGAATTCAGAAAGAATTCTATTATTTATTAATCAAGGTTTTATACATATATATGTATACAGAAGTTTTATGAAGATCTATGTTTGCCATATTCTTTGATAGTTATTGTCTTATTTCCTATCAATCATTTTTATTATTGAACCGAATATCTGATATGAACTATTACCGGAGCTCAAATTTATTGAAAACCGTTGAACAAATTATACCATTAGGTTGCAATTTATGATTAGTTTATTGTATTCGTGTTAAGGGTAATTATTAACAATACGCCACGTCCTTCTGTAATACCTTGCATACCTGGGTAATTCGGTTTTCCAAAACCGTTAGCAAATACCTCTATAATGTTGCTTAGTACTGTTTAGTATCCTTTTTACAGTGAACGTGGAAGGATGTGTTAGAAGTCTGTGATATTCTATCATTTATTTCTTACGCTTATTTGTAATTTTATTTATAATAAGACGAGTTGTGCAAACTTACAGAGGATTTAAAATGCCGAAGTTGAATCTGGAATATTGTTCTCGATGGATCGAAACTGAATCGATTAATCGAGGTAAGGACGCATATAAATTCGAGATACAGAAGCGACGCCATTGACCACCATTGATTAAATATAAATAATATGGCAGCGTTCTGAAACGTTGTTATTGACAGAGTTAAAGTTGTTTGACGTTTTAATTCGATTTTAGGGTATTATCTGAGAAGAGTACAGATAGAAATGAGGAAATCACCTTTAAGTGCTCCAAGTGGTAGTGGGAGACGGGAAGGTTTCGGTTGGAATTCTCGTGAATCTTGCAACAGGACAGGTTATGGTCGTGTTAAAAATGACAACTACCAGTGTTTCACGCCAAACCAAAATCAAAGCCCACATCAGAAAGGTAGTGATGATTTTATTCCTCTGGGATTTAGCAGTCCACTATGTTCTCAGCAAAGACGCAGTAATGATTGGTACGGCTCTGGCGGTGATCGTAATCATCGAAACTCTGGAGGCTATAACCGTTATAAAAACAATTTTCACGGGAGTTCCAAATCAAATCTAAGCTGTTCTCCCTCTCCTTACAAGAATCAGTCTACACAACGACATAACAAGGTTTGTTTGTTAATGTTTCTCTAATATTCAGTTCGTCTGGCAAAAAGGTATGCTTATTTGTCATTTGTAGTTATGAAAAGGTATCATACAGTGTGTGAAGACATTAAGAATAAATATGCTTGTTTTTAGAATTTTCAGAAGGGTATTCATAGACAGATAAATATATCTACCTATGTCAATTTGGAATCTTTCCTTGAGGATCCGTGGGCAGATTTAACAAAAAACTTGCAAAGTTTGGAGTCAGATAACCAGTTGTCGGAGAAATGTTCAGCAAATGTGGGTAGTAATTGTAGTGATGTTGTAAGAACTGATGCTTCTTATATACCGTTAAACCTTCCTGAAACAGAATTGAATCAGGATATGTCAACAGTAACAGAAGAAAAAAATCAAAGTTGTACAAAATTGAATCCTGAAAGTATATAACAGAAGGAGTTGATTGTTTTATAGTGTAATATTGATTTTCATTATGTATTTTATATAATACTCATTTGTACATAGGTATTGCAAAGATCATACATTTTTATAAGAATTCAGAGTATTGAAGTTGTGTATCATTGTGGTCTTTAGGTACAAAAGAAAAGTTTTGGATTTAAATTGTTTCTGTATGGAAACTGGTGTCTCGCAGAATCATATCTAATAAACATAAGGCACACAACAGAAAAAATTATTTATCAGAATATATTTTCACATCGAGGCTGTGAAAAAAATGTTTGATTTGTATTTCTAACATGACCGTGCAATTTCTCTAATAATATACATGAATGTAATATGTATGTATTACACGTGTATAAATATATATATATATATATTATAGTATATGTAATATAGAAGTTAACAGTGGTATCTATGATACGAGTAACATAAAATTTGAATGTACTGGGTTCAGTGAAGAATCTTATCTAGACAAAGACTAGATTAATTTGCTTGTCACATTTGAATCGCAGAGTACCTATTTACTAAAGTACCACTTTGCATCTGATTATTATAACATGAGCAATACCTATCTGTCATTTAATTTTCAATAATTCGGCAAAGCAATTATAGCATAACAAATTTTAGTTTATGTAATTTCTTAATTTTGTAAAGAAAATTAACACGAAATATAGTCTTAGCAGTGCACACAACAATAAAATTATTGATATAAAGAAAGAGTAATCGTACTTATTGTTTGTCAAACTAGTTATTTAAATACTTGAGCCATTACTTCCCTATTTATATTTTGCACACAACTCACTTTAAATTATTAAACAATAATTAAAAAATATACAATATCAGAACAAATGTTCAGTCACTTTAAGCAAGTACAACGAAATCTTTCACGTTATTGCATCTAAAAAAGGATACAGGAAAATCTAAAATGTAATAAAATGTTACTTAAACGCCATAATATTTTAATAAATTCATTGGTACATTATAGCAATCTAATAAAGAGCGTTAAATATTCACCTGAACTCTTAGAAAAGTTTTAGTATGCGGGATAAGCTTTGTATGAAAAATGTTATTAGAGAAAAATTAACCATTTCGATAGTAATGTAGTGTATGATACGATACATACGATACATCGGTTAATTATTTAATATCTAACGAATTAATGGCCATTTTAATTACGATGTTGCGTCATAATTTATAAGCTTGCAACAAGAAACGTCTAAATTGGAAGGAATCATGCAAGTTTCTCTAAATATAGTGTATAAAAAGAGTGTCTTTCGACTATATAGCTTGGTATATTTTTACTTGTATAATGAGCTTATAGTTATTCTTACATTGACAGTTAGAGAGTAACGTCATTACTCGAATGCTGTACAAAATAGATCAGCATTGATCTTTAAAATTGTATTGACATAGCCATACCTTATTTTTGAAAATGGGAATATCACAATGTGGAGTTCCATGTCTTCTTCGGTATAATATTTTTCACTGTGAATCGAGTGAATCAATAATATCAATATCTTACAAACAATTTTGACAAATGTACGAGAAACAAAAAGAGAGAATAAAAAAGTTATTATGTCGTTCTCAGTATATTCTGCCTACTAATATTTAAATTTTAACTATTAAAGTCATATTGCACTCCTCTACCTTAGTAGAGTAGTTCAGTAGACATAAGTCGTAACGCTGCTTCCGACTACGATAGAGTTTCGTCGAGTGGCTACTTGAATAATTGATAATCGGTTCTCGAACCAATCAATACGATATCTACACCACGTGCAAATGAAGGTATTGCACTAGTTCGTAGTCGTATTGATAGTAATCAAAGTTAAGAGAAGGTCCGAGAACCTTTTTTTTTGTCCTAATTTCGTGAATCACCCTTACCTAGTTCTTCTATCAATTCAATCAGTTTTTCGCATGTGTTTCTCAATTATTTAAGAGTTTCGTTACTTATTATCCTCTGTGTCTTTATGCCTCTCTGTTGTTAAGGTGGTTTTGAGGAGAGGAGGAATTCTCATACACATATACAGATATACATACATCCTCAAGCATATATGGATAATTAAGTGAATATATACAGGGTGAACCACGGATCGTGATCAGTAGAGATTACTTTTTTATTAGCAGTCCGATCGAAAATGTTTTTATCAGCTTTTGCATGGTTTCAAGAGAGCTTTAACGTGATAGTGAAAAATTACTGGTCAACTCTTTTTTTAAAATGTTTTTTCAAGGTTACCTTGAATTTTTTGCAACTGAACATATAATTTTTTTACGCCTGTCTGTTAGAGGATTTCAAAACGAATTCGGCACATGTAAGGACATGACATTTTTTTCATCTGGTTCGAAAGAAAATTAAAAAACTAAATACTCCTTACCACAAGGAGAATCACAGGTACGCCGTTATACGCATCCATTCTGTCGTCTTCAGTAGTCATCAGTGTAGAGGAGAGGCCATAAAGAATGCAAAACAATCTTTTGTTCACCGTCTACGCGAGTGCATTGCAGCTCGTGGACACCATTTTGAACATCGCTACAATTAAGATTCGTAAATTTTAACTTGTCAACAACATTGGTTGCGTCACAACGGCGTAGCTGTGATTCTCCTTGTGATACAAAGTTTTTTATTTTCTTTCGAACCGGATGAAAAAAATGTCATGTCCTTACATGTGCCGAATTCGTTTTGAAATCCTCTAACAGACAGGCGTAAAAAAATTATATGTTCAGTTGCAAAAAATTCAAGGTAACCTTGAAAAAACATTTAAAAAAAGAGTTGACCAGTAATTTGTAAATTTTGACTTGTCAACAACATTGGTTGCGTAATAACGGCGTAGCTGTGACTCTCCTTGTGATACAAAGTTTATTAATTTTCTTTCGAACCGGATGAAAAAAATGTCATGTCCTTACATGTGCCGAATTCGTCTTGAAATCCTCTAATAGACAGGCGTAAAAAAATTATATGTTCAGTTGCAAAAAATTCAAGGTAACCTTGAAAAAACATTAAAAAAAAGAGTTGACCAGTAATTTTTCACTATCACGTTAAAGCTCTCTTGAAACCATGCAAAAGCTGATAAAAACATTTTCGATCGGACTGCTAATAAGAAAGTAATCTCTACTGATCACGATCCGTGGTTCACCCTGTATATTATATGCTCAATTCTATTGGCATACAAATCATATAAAAAAAATGTATGTATATCATCAGTTAAATTTCAATTAAAAGAATACATTTATTAATCCAACACTATTTCTCAAATACAATCTATTGTGAAATACTGTGACGTCGTGTATTTAAAACAAAAAAAAGTTTGACGGAATTTTGAAAATTTTCTTTCAATTCTATTCCACTTAGATAATGTGATGCAATCACAATAAGTTTTAGCACTGTTTCTTAATTTTTTCTAGCATGAAAATACTTTGTACCTGTCTAGCTGCTGTGATTGTTTATGCTGTCTTGTTATGTGCAAAGGTGTTGCCTTTGTCTACGACGGCAGTGAAAGACTTCATTATTATACTGATGGTATCACTAGTTCCACTTTGGCAAATACTGATGTCGCATACAAATAATACAAATATTTTCGTGTTGCTTTCTGTTTTCGACAATATTGTGCTGTATGTTTTGGTCCCACATATTCTAGGTCACAGCCATTAAGGGACGATCAATATAGTACATTAGGTTATAATATTAATCTACCTTAATGCTGCTGTACTATTTTGGCGTCACTCTTTGCGTACATGTAAGATTCCGTTGGAAATGATTATTAACGTTGCTTTAGACAAATGTGCTGTTTGGTACATAGTTCTAGTAGAATGGAAGAAAATAATTTGATGAATTTCTCTTGTGAATATTCTAAACTCAGTTTACTCTCTGCGATGAGACTGTTTAACAAATTTTGTATGTGACTAAACTGTGATGATAGATTTAACAGTGATATAAAAATGTAAAAAGTTACAAAGAACGTCTAAGTAATTGAATGGAATTTTTGCTATTATTAAATAAGTAATTACAATAGTTTTTTTACTATACTTCAGTAAAAAGAATTGCTAAAGCATGGCAATTAATGTCAAAAGAATTTTATATAATGCGATACAATGAATTGTCAGAAATGAAATTACCTTCTGAGTAAAAGAAAACCAAAGCTTAATGAGTAAGTTATAATAATTAATGTAAGAAGAAGCATGAAAAATGATTATAATCATTACACAACAGTATATGGGTAAGTATATAAAGAGAAAGACATAAAGATACTTAAATAATCAGATTCGTTGTTATTTATTCGTCAAAGGAAAGCAAAATGAAAATTATTTCACCAAAACGGTGATAAATAATATAAATAAATAAATAACATATTCGATGACAATCATTAAACGGTTCAATTACTTCGAATGCCTTATTCGACCCATGTAAACGCATGTCGATATGTCTTGAAACCCTCTTATTCGAATCATATAATGAAAATACACGTAACATAGTAATCATTCTCTTATTTCCATCATCCACCCACAAAATTTGATTTTTTTTCCATAATAACAACCTCATATCGTGATATCCCCATTGACATCACTGATCCTTCCCTAAATCACTAAACATTAGTCGCATTATCATGGAGCGATGACGTTTTTTTTTGTTAAAAAATACGTTCGCATCATTAAAACTCAGTACATGATTTAATAATAACAACAATTGTAATAATCGACCAAACATTGACTCGACATCCTTTAATTAGTCATGCCTTAATTCTAGGCACATACGTATAAATAATGCATACGGATACGCTAGATTAGCATGCACGTCCGGTTACAGAACAGGAAATATAGGTAAACCTTTCCTTATCAAGTTATCAGTATACCGCGTACCAGACTTCTCGTACCTGGTAATAGCTTCCTTATTAAAATCCGTACGTACGCGCCGAAAGACAGAATGACAAATTACAATTAGATTAATTTGACCTCACCTAACCTTTATGGTTCTTGTCATTTATACATTACACTTTTTATTTCTGACACGATATCCAATTTTATTTTCCACCTTTGGTCAACTTTAGTCTTCTCTAGTGACACCTGCTACCGGTTACTTCTTCATATTTAATTATACGTATATCCGATATATTATATACAATTAGGTAAAGAACGCAATTTAGAAATAGGATTAGATACGCGACGACGTGCTATGCTAGTAAGTTCTTATCTGATTATACTGTAGCATCGCTTCCTTCGGCAATAGGAATACTGGTAATAACGTAGTTACCTTGGTCTCATCGTTTAAAGCTATAATTTCAAAGTTGACAGGCAATCAAGTTGTTGTTCGAATTGGAGCTCGTGTTAGTTTTGCGGATCAGACATTTTTGTACTTCCCCCTTTGCATTTACCTTATCCGTGCATTGTGATTAATTAGGTAGATTCTCTTTAGTTACGTTGACTTAGTCCTCTTTTTATGAAAATCATTTACAGTTTTTGTAATAATGTCTTGGGGAAAATTTTTTACGCAAAAATGATTCTTCCCTACTTATGCACAGGTACTTATTTCTTTATATTAAATTTAATCCACTTAATACCCCCTATTAATATTACATTGACTTAGGTCATAAGTGTCTATTCCCAGTACTTTTAATATTATGTTGTATAACCTTGTAACTTTAAAAAATGCCTGTGTAACAAAATGTTATGCTTTTGTTACTCTTATCGATACAATGAATACACAATGTGTCCAAGGTCCATAATAAATCACTATTAATAAAATTCTATCCAATTTGAATTCCTAATGGATTGAAAATCCGAATAGAAATTTTCCACAGTCCTCACAAGCCTCTGAAACGCCTACCTTTATCTTTGATAAGTTATCGATTAGCGAAAATTCGAATAACGTTCAACCTAAAGTAAACGTGGTTGTACTAGGATCTAATCACAAGGTCACCAAACGGTTGACCTTGCTTCAAACGTCGATACCAACCATCACATCAGGTACCAACCAACCATCAAAAGCAACGCGAGTCAATCCTTTGATTTACTTAAAGTTTTAATTTAAACAACGCAGAGACAATATGGATAATTTAATTAGGAGCCTTGACGAAGAACGAGCATATAACATACCGAAATAAAGATAGATAAATAAAGATAAATAGATACACATAGCACATGTATACAACGATCAATGAATTTCGACATGAGCTCCAAGTCAAAGAATCGTTTCGACATCGTTACAATAGTTTTCTAATACGATCGCGAACATACGTAGTAAAATACACGTGTGCGAAGTATATAAATCTACATATGGTATATGAATATATGCATACATTATGTATATATATATATATATATATATATACACTCTTTTAATAACCGATATAACGGTAGCCGCTCTTAGAGTAATAATTTTTAATTATCATGAGTTTTCTGTCTTATGTTACCTAGCCAAAATACCGTGACAATGTTATTTTTTTCTCTTTTTCAC